CAGGCCAGAGACAAACATTTCACCCTCTAGCTCTAGCCGGGGGTTAAACAGTCAACTGTGTCAGGTATTCACACGTGGAATAATGGGAATTTTTCATTCGTTGTTGCTGCTACTTAAATAATGGTAGTGGAAAGAGAAAAAACAGGCTAGAAGAAAAAGTCATCTGATATTGAGTTGATCTTCCTGGCCTCTGCGACTAACAGACTAAAATAAACCTGGACTGTGACCAAGAAACTGGTAATTCCAGGTTATCGTGCCAAACGTTTTCCAAGAACATATAAAATTCAAAACAAAGTGAGAACCCATACTAAACAAAGTTTAATATTCTATCCATCTTGAAGGTTGCTGTTGTTGATTTCACAGAAATGTATCCAAGAAATGATCATGTCCCATTATGTATCAGCCTAGAGGAAATGATTCATTAATTGATCTTTTTTTCCTCTGGAAAGCCTTTAGCTAATTCATACCAGGCACATCATGAAAGATACTCAATTCTGGGGAGAATATGAATAGTAAGTACTTTTCATAGTGCATCATATTCAATCTTTGTGAACAATGGATTTAGATAAAGTGAGAGTATTCTGTCAGAATCAGTCAATCATTGGAACATAGAAACAGAAGTGGGCCACTAGGCCCATCATGCTTGCTCTATCAATAAGTCTACAACAAATCTTTCAGTACTACAGAAAATAATCCTTGCATTTGCTATTGTGCCTTACCACTTTGTCAATATGTCTCAAAGCACTTCACAGGATTTAACCTGCAATATCTTGTGACTATACTTGTAATTCCATTTCCCACCTTTATGGGTCATTGTTGTGTGCAAAATAGCCACCCCATTCATCCACAAAATATACAGTCACTACAATTGTCAGTGAAATCCTGGAAGCACTTTGAGACATCTTCAGATCACATCTTAAAACCTATCTCATCAATCGTGCCTATGGTCACCTTCCTCCCTCCCCTTCCTCTTAGCTCGGCATCCAAAGAGGCTCAAACTCCACACTGTAAAGTGCTCTGAGATATTATATCACATGAATGGTGCTATATAAAAGCAGTGTATTTTTTTACATTTTGATCAGTCGAAAGCAAAATATCCAACCATTGCTTATATCAAATAATTCTACTTTGCGGCAACTAGTTTCTACAACATTTTGGTGACTTCAAAATATGTCTGTGTAATGTGATATCCTTGTACTACAGTGCAATGCAGTATTACTTGAATCAATACTTTTGAAACAAAAAAGGCTCTTCTGATGCTATTTCATGTAGCCTCATTGGATAAACAAAATGCCTGTCTGAAAGAATTTTGACTTGAAATGTTTTGAAACACGTCTCTGAAGTTAAATAAATCAAATAATTTTTAATCCCAACTGTGAGTACCCTTTAGAAGTCATTTATTCAATAATAATAATAATAATAATCTTTGCATTTGATATAGCGCTTTTCACGTCGGGAGGACGTCCCAAAGCGCTTCACAGAACACACTGTAAAGTGAATTGACTGTATATTTGTGGGCAAACGCAGCAGCCAATTGCGCACAGCAATGTCCCACAAACAGTCGTAGATTGAAAATGACCAATTTTATTATTGTCAATCAGGTTAATTTGATGCTCTGCAGGTATACAGATAAAACAATAATAAAACAAAGCTATTGTCACACATTATTAATGTTAGTCATATCTCAGGAACCTTTACAGAGAAATATCCTATTTAAATTAGCCATGTCTTATGCATAATATGAATTGATGTTCCCAACCACAATTAATCCTCGTATTAATTTGTTGCGGTATTGTGCGTCAGCATGGCTGTAGCACTCTTGCCTTTGAGTCAGAAGGTTCTGGGTTCAAGCCCAATATCAGAAATGGTGTCCATGTAGTTAGGCTGACACTCCAGGGTAGTCCTGGAGGTGTGCTGCATTGTTGGAGGTATCGTCCTACAGATGAGATGTTAAATTGATGTCCCATCCGCATGTCCAGGTGGACATTGAAGATCCCAGTGTGATGTTCAAAAGAGAAGGGAGTTTCTCCTGGTGTCCTGGCCAACTTTTTCAAATAAAAAGAACGACCATTCACTTAATGGGTTTTCGTGGGACACTATTATGTGCAAGTTGGCTGCTGCCTTTGCTCAAAAAACAGTCACTCCATTTTACAGTATATCCCGTAAAACACTTTGGGATGTAATGTGTAAGGTGCTCTTTCCAAATGTAAGGATTATTATTATTAATTATTATTATTATGAACATTATCATCACCACCACCAAAACTAAAGTTAAAATGTAGCAGGTCACTGAATTTCATAGTAAAAAATAAAAACTCATTTTAAAAGCACACTTATCAAATCTCTCTAAAATAACATGCTCAAAATGATCTTCTACCAGACATGCTACAGGTTGTTAATAGTGACATGGGAAATGACGACAAGATGCTGGCATGTCACCTATGATCTTTTTGAATGTAATATTTTCAGACAAGCAGACTTATCTGTGGTCTTCACCACAAATGTAGTCAACACATGGACTAATAGCAGAAATACAAACAACACATGGACTATCAGCAGAAATGCAGCAGGAAGGCTTGCCATAAACATTACTTAGAATTCCTGTTCAAGTTGAATCCACAAGCTGAGATCTGTTGGTCCTGCTCATTATATTGTTCAGCACTAGGTGGCAAATCCTAACAGCAGTTGCAAATAGAGATTCCTTTCATTTTACGGAAGTATATCATGCTGAATTGTAGAGCATCACTTCAGATGTAGATCGCAAGGTTGGTTCAGATGAAAAAGGCACTTCCCTACCACTCTGACCTCCTCACTCCCCAATCCATCACCCTGCACCTCCGCTCGACTGGCACTAGCCTCCTGAATTTCTCTCACACCTTCTGCCCCTCTGTCCAAGGTCACACTTTTAAGTCCTGCCTGAAAACTTTCCTCATCGACCGTGCTTAAGACCACCTCTCCCCCTCCCCCCGGCTCGGAGTCAGGTTCCGCCACCGTTAAGTGCTCTGAGATGCTACCCTGAAAGGAAGGTGCTATATAAGTGCAAGTTGTTGTTGTAAATGCAGAATATCTGGCAGTAAGGGTATCTCCCTTAGAATCTTATTGTTTATAAGTCTATCATTCAATGATTAGCTTTATAAACCAGTGAGGGTTACTTCTGTGACATTGGTTCAATGAGATTGTTGATGACAAACAGTTCAATATCAGTTCTCTTTTGAACTAAGCTTTAAAAATCCATGCAAACACTGTAATTACCAAAGGGGTGCTCTATTATTTTGTCTATTTCATGTAAAATACTTTTTCCTTTTTACCAATTCATTCAAACTCTACATGTTAAAATAAAGGTTTCAAAATCACTATTCCATGCTCGTAGTTAGATTATGGGCAAGGATAAATTGGATTGACTTTGAGAGATGCCATTCATTTACAAAATCCTTATATTTAACGCCTTTCATGTTGCAAGGAGACTTCAAAGTGTTTCAAAAGATTCACTGTGCAAGTATACTGACTATGCATTTTTATAGGTGATTGAGGCAGCCAATTTGCATACAGGAATGTCCCACAAACAGTCATGAAAAGAATGACCAATTTTATTAGTAGGGTTGAATGGTGAGGACACATATACTGACATAAACTTTCTTCTCTTTTTGCACATTGCCTTTGGATCTTAAATGTCCACCTGAACAGACAGACAGCCTTGATTTAACATCATATCATCTGAATTACAGGACCTCCGTCAATACAGAGAAAAGCCCTTATTACCTGGATGAAGTTAGCAGGTCAAAGGAGGTTCACAATAAAACATTCTTAAACTGATGCAACTGAGTTGCACTTGAATTCTTCCATGTTACTGATGATTTCAATGGTATATCATGCCTTATGCTTTTCCCATCTTAGTTTCTACTATCCTTGTACCAAAGCATACTGGAACATTCAGGGTATTACATTTCAAAAATGATTCATCTGAGCATTTCCTCTACAAATAATGTTTTTTCTCCAAATCAAATGGATCCATACAGAACAAATTACAAAACTTCTCCCTCCAATGACTTGTGGCTCCTGATGACCAAATATGTGCTCTCTTGAGGAATTGTTGCTGCCCATATTTTCATCATGGGACTCAGATTAAAATTATTCTGAACTGAATACTATGTTTATAGCATATTGCAAAATGTAAGTCAGTCTTCCTCTTGGCAATACAAAATGCAAAATTCTTTGAAAAATACTGCAAAGCAGTACTACGTTCAATCTAATTATAGAATGAGAATGAGTGGACTAATCTTAAAAAAACTATCAACAATAAATATCTCTTAAGCCTCCAATTCAATGAAGAATAGATTTAGTCAAGTAATGACTTTCTTACTGAAATCATAATACATAAAGGCTTCACTATCCATTTTTTCAGTATATTTCAACTGCTTGCATCTTAATGGCTTGTTACACTGATGAGGTTATGGGTTTATTCTCAGCCACTCTTCTCACATTATCTGTTCAGTTCATAAATATATAAAGCATCACAGTTCATGTAAAAAAGAGAGCAGAAAACTAATAATGGCAATATAATGTAAGGTTAAGATTCATGATTTTGAACTTTTAAAGATTGGATTCTTAACAGGCCTTATGTTCTCTGATAAAATCTTATGACAAAGTGAAATAATTCCTAATACAGCCATATGAAATATATACCACTGCTTGATTGGGTTAATTAACATAACATAATGGCATCACAAAAATCACAAAATTAATAGGTATCAACAAACAAAACCAACAACAACTCACATTGATATATTATCCTCCATATGGAATAACATTTTGAAGTACTTTACAATGACAGAATCAGATGCTAAGCAAGGGAGGAAGGAGAAGGTGTAACCTTACCCAAGCTTTGAAGAGGATGGATTTAAAGGCAGATAGAGAGGGGATGAGACAGAGGGATAGAGGAAAAGAGTAATTGCTATAGATTTGTCATTTAATAAACTAAATTAAATCATCACTTGACTCACCTTTGCAAATGGGGATGGGAAAATCCCACGTTGCACTATTCCCCGAGTTAGCTATACATGTAAGCCGAGGATATCCATCCAGGATGTATCCATTCACGCAGGAGTAGGTGACCATATCACCAACATCAAAGCTAGTGCCATGAAGAATACCTCTGGGTGGTACAGTGGGGTTGCCACAGGAACTGCTTTGCAACTCTGCAGGGAAAAAAAACAAATAAAGAATGACTCTACCAGTTATAGAAAAGAAAAACTTTACAGTAGATACAGCTCCTATAACATTGAAACAACAACAACGACAAAATTACATGTGTGTAGCGTCTTTCACATCGGGAGGACATCCCAAGGCGAGTTTCAGACTAGAGCTGGGAGTCGGGGAGGGTAGAGGGCAGGGGGGAAGCAGGGAAATTGAAAGCACAGTCAAGTGAAGTCGGGCGAGGATGGAGGGGGGGGTAAAAGCATTACGGAGCCTGGTGCGGGAGCGGATGTGGGCTGCAGAGTTCTGGATGATCTGCAGCCTATGGAGGGAGGAGTTGGGGAGGCTGACAAGCAAGGAGTTTGCATAGTCGAGCCTCGATATATTGAAAGCATGTATGAGGATTTCAGCGGTCTGCGGTGTGAGACAGTGGTGGAGTCGGGCGATGTTGCAGGGGTGAAGGCAGAGTGGGTCATGGCACAGATATGGGGTAGAAAGGACAGTTGAGGGTCAATCAAGACACCAAGGTTCCGGACTGGCTTAGCAAGGTGGAGTGGACGGTGATGCTGTCAGTGCCTGAGGTGAGGAGGCACTGACCGGAGCCAATCAGAAGAGCCTCGGTCTTGTTGAAATACCTTAAACCACATCACAGGCAATTATTGTCAGGACTCAGGAATAAGTATTTGTAGCAAATTTGACAATTAGTGCAATGCAATATCCCCAAAACAACCATGAAGGAGAAGCATGTGAGTATTTTTAGCCTGAACTACCTGGGGATTATGAGACGAAGTATCATTGTTTCCTGACTCATCACGTTTTTCAATTTACTTGTTGAGTAAAGATTAGCAGATTCTTGAGAATAATTACAGGGTAGTCATCTGCTCAAAATATCCAGATAGTGTCAGAGACTGGCTGTTTGTAGGACGCTGCCTTGTGCAAAATTGTCTGCCGTGTTCGTCCACAAAATACACAGTGGCTACACTTCAGCCACTTTAAAGCTTTTTGAAATGCGAAGGCGTTATGCAAAGCTGATTATTATCAGTAATTATTATTTTATTAAGCCATAGGAGTAAAACTCAAAGGGTTCACAATCTTCTACTGATTGTGAGATTAGATTCCAATTGTTCAAATCACACAATGGGACCCATCTTTTTGTATTGATAAAATCTATGAGAATTACATGCAAAATGGAGTCTGTTATTTTTCAGTGCGCTTCTGGAGGAGAATACCAAGTTCATTCCTTGTGACACTGATATACTGTATGTTGATAAACAGAAAATAATTTGCAGTTGATCATAAGTAGTATTGTATGATTTGTCTAACGAACCAAAGAAATTGAAGGTTACAATGCAACTACTATTAAGGTTAACAATTTAGGCATCACCTGGCTCAGTTGGTAGTACTCTCACATCTAAGTCATAAGGTTTGGATTCAAGACCCATCTCGGGATTTTGTGCTCACACAGTCCAGAAATGTTGAGCAGGCTGAAGATTTGGATATAGATTCATACTATTGGAGGCCTTGGAACCTTCAAAATGTATCATCTCAGGTGTCTCGGTTTAGGAGACAGGCAAAATAAAACATTTTGTTCCTAAGCAGATCTAGCAGGATTGCAGTCACAGTGAGAACAAATGTAACTGAGACAATTACAGTGCAGAAGAAGGCACATTCAGCCATTGTGCCTGTGCAGGCAACTTGAAAGGGCAATAGAAGCTTTTTGTGTGCTTTTTCAAGCGCATACAGTAATCAGATTCAGTGTAACTTATTTTGCAGTATTTCCTAATGGAGTTCCTTAATAAAGATTTCAATCACATAAATGGGGTCTTTTTCCTGTAACCAGAAGCAAGTCCCACTGATGGGTGAGAACTCTGCTCCTGCACAATCTATTCCCAAACAAGATTCCTGTTTGTCGATTGAAAATCCAACAAAATTCCTCATTAAGAAATCCCATTTAGAAATATTGCAAATTAGATCTCCCCAAAGTGAATGTAAAGTATATACAGTGGATTGGTATGGCCTAATGTGAAACATCACAAGACTTGGATAAAACAGAATTAATTACAATGGCAGTACAGAAATCAAAATGTTGCCAGATTAATAATTTGCATACAATACAAAATTACATCAGTGTTTTTCACGTTGGGAGGACGTCCCAAGGCGCTGGGCATATAAGTATATGCAGTCCTTATTTGATATACAGTGAAATAAAACCAGTATTGTATCAGCTCAAATTACGTAGTATAATAACAACAACAAACAGCAACAAAATTACATTTGTAAAGTGCCTTTCACGTTGGGAGGACGTCCTAAGGCACTGGACAATCACTGTTTCGGACTCGAGCTGGGGATTGGGACTGGGGAGGATGGAGGACAGTGGGGAAAGGAGGCTGATCGAAGGCATGTTCGAAGAAGAGGGTCTTGAGGCAGGTCTTAAAGGAGATAAGAGAGGGGGCGAAGAAGAGGGACTGTGGGATGGAGTTCCAGAGTGTGGGGACAGAGTGGCGGAAGGCTCGCCTGCCAATTGTGGGGCGGGCGAGTGGGGTCGTGAAGCAGGACAGAGCCCGCTGTACAATCTACAGTACAGTGGCAATGCAGTTCATGTATATGAGCTGACTTTCACACCAGTCATCTATCATTGTCCACAATGAAACTCGCTAGTGGCTAAAAAAGCAAAATAAAAAAAAACACCCACAGAAATTCTACTCCTATATAATTCATGGAATGATATGTGCTAGAAGGCGTTTTTCAAAAGTTGTACATCCTAGGACTGAAATTACATTGCTAACTCATTGAAGCTTCATTCTCATAGTTTATGATGGCATTGTTGCAACTGCTGAATCCACTACTTTGTAGCAAGCCTCAGTCTGTGGGTTTTTACGAACAGGTATTGTTCTGAGTTTATATTCTGAATCCCATTTAAATAATAATAATGATAATAATAATCCTTGCATTTGATATAGCGCTTTTCACGTCTTCTAAATGTTTCAATACGCTTCACAGAATATACCGTAAAGTGAATTGACTGTATATTTGTGGTCGAAATGCGGCAGCCAAATTGCGTACAGCAGTGTCCCATAAACAGTCATAGATTGAAGTGAACAATTCTTTTTTCTTGAAGGATTATTATTAGGCATGTGGAGTAAGGAAACTTGCCCAAGGTTTTGCCCTGCCGGGAATCAAACCCAGGTCTCTCGCTTGAGAGCGAATGCTCTAACTACTGACGTACAGGACTCCACAAACGTTATACTCTGCTATATCCCCTTTGAATCATCTATTTTGATGACCGAAGCAACCTGGATTATCTACATGTTGCTCATAGCTCATTAGAATACAAAATTACATTTGTAAATCACCTTTTATGTCGGGAGGACATCCCAAGGCCTGAACAGACAGTGATCAGGACTCAAGTGAGTGGGGGGGGGGGGGGGTTGGCATCAGGGAGGGTGGAGGGTGGAGAGGTTAGGAGGGTGGCTGAAGGCATGGTCGAAGAGGAGGGTCTTGAGGCATGTCTTGAAGGAGAAAAGGGAAGGAGCAAGGTGAAAAGAATGTGGGATAGAGTTCTAGAGGGTGCGCGCAGAGGCTGAAGGCCCGATTGTCAATGGTGGGGCTGGCTGGGCAGGGGACATGGAGCAGACTGGAGCCTGCTGAGCAGAGGGAGTGGACAGGTTGATAAGGGGTTAGCATGTCGGAGAGATAGGAGGGGGCAAGGCCATGAAGGGCCTTGAAGGTGAAGACAAGAATTTTGAAAACTAGGAAACATACTCATTCCTTTTAACACTAGGGATCATTCTCTTTGGTTTTCTCTGCACTGCTCTGGGATGCAGACAGCCCCTTATGTTAAGGTTATGTACTCAGTATTGTAGGTGCAGCCTGACCAAATCTTTTGAATATCACTTTCAAGTATCTAAGCTCAACTGTTCTAACAATATAGCCCAGCCTTCCGTTTGCTCGTTTATTGCTGTCTCACACTGTTCCTTCAACCGTGCCTTCACCTCCCCTCTCGACTCTCTACCCACTCCTCACTCCCTCCCTTCCCTCCCCTCACCCTGACCCCTGCTCAGGTGCCGACCCAACTGTCCAGCGCTTTGAGATGTCCTCCCGACGTGAAAGGTGCTCTATAAATACAATCTTGTTGTTGTTGTTGTTTGACGTAGTGAGCAGTCAACTAACATTCTAAACCTCTTTCACCTTCCCCTTTAGCAAGTTCTATCCCATCCATTAACAAGAACAACAATTTGCACTTATATAACACCCTCCACAGAGGGTAGCATCTCAGAGCACTTAACAGTGGCGGAGCCTGATTCCGAGCTGGGGGTGGGGGGGTGGTGGCTGTAAACACAATTGAACAGGAAAGTCCTCAGGAGGGTCTAAAAGAGGGGAGAGAGCGGGCAAGGTAGAGGGATTGAGGGCAAGTGTTCCAGAGTTTTGAGGAGTAGTGGCTGAAAACGTGACCTCCGATGGTGGGGCGGAAGGTTCGAGGGACGAGCAGGAGGCCGGTGCCAGTTGAGCGGAGGAGCCTGGTGGTGGTTTGGGGAGTGTCAGAAAGGTAGGGAGGTACCAGGGAGGGAATAGATTAAACTAAGTGCATTCTAATGTCCTATATGCAGTTCTTGCATATGTTTGTAATGAACTTTAATTGCTAGTCTTTGTAGGATCTTTGTAGGATCTTCTACAGTTCCCTTTATCTGCAAATGTAATCATTTTCCACTAGGTTTATGAATTCAGGCCATTACTATATACAATGAACAAGAGGGTCCCAATACAGATTACTAAGGCACCTACGAAAAATCCCCTCTCCCCTTCATTTTGACTGAGCACCCCAAGCAATAACCTCCTACTACTTTCCATCAGCCAATTTTGAATCCATGTCCATGTCAATCTCTTGATATCTATTGACATCAGTTTATGAAGGAGTCTTTGAAGTGACACTTCAAATGTCAAATGTATTTTGGAAGTCAAGATACACTATATCATAGGATGGCAAATCGCTTTTCCGGGAGTA